ATATAATAAATAAATATAAATATAAATATGTATATGTATATATATACACATATATATATTTCATTTCCTCCTTTACGTTGTGGTCATCAACAACAGTTGCGGTGTTATCAGCAACAGGAAAGCTGAAAAATACCAAAAATTGGTACCAGAGAAATGGGATTGTTGCTGTAACTGCACCTGACCATGTGGTTCAGTGGTCTTTGAACTGGTTTTGGGGAGGAGTTTAAAAAGGTTTGGAGATGTAGTCTAGAGAGGCCCTAAAATGTAAGAGCTTGATGTATGATTCTAATAAGCAGTCAGAAGATCAGAATGCCAATAGGAATGTAGGCATTAAAAGCCAAGCTCATGAGATTTCATATTGGGAATTGAATAAGAGGCCATGAATGTTGCATTCTGGCAAAAGACTTGTCAGCATTTAGAATTTCAGTCCATATCCTGAAACTTTGTAGAATCTTGAATTTAAAAGCTATGAACAAATTGATCTGGTATAGAAAATTTTAAGGTAGTTCAATTTTCAAGCTGTGGCATGGATATTGCTTGCTGCTTTTAGCCAGATTTATAGCAAAAAAAAAAGGGGCAAAAAGCAGAACAAAATTTTAAAAACTTAAAATTTTGGCCCAAAAGAACCATGTGCAAATGTGGGACTAAAAGTGTTTTGGTTGCTGAAGAGATTAGTGCCATTTAAAAAATACCAAGTACTTTGAACCAGGGTAAGAAGAAAGATGTCTTGAGAGTATCTCAGGAATCAGCAAGACCCCCACCACCACCATCATAAGCTCAAGGGTGCAAAATTATAAGACTTTATTTGAGAACAGAGTCCCTGGGCCCCCAGGATTCATTTCCTCATTCTCAACCGTAAAGGCATTCCAAGACCACTGGAGTCATGGTTCAAGTGGGCCTGGCTGGTGCTTAAGTGGGCAGCAGACAATGGTGTTATTCACATGATACAGGTTATTCAGCCATGCAGACTGCCTGAATTGTAGGGTCATGGAAGCATCTATCCAGATTTCAGACACCGTTCTTAGAGGACAGGCAATGTGCTCCTGAGAGGGTGATGCCTAAAGCTGTGGGAATGAAGCTGAGTGTATAGTGGAGAGCTGATGAAATTGAGGATGATAGGAATGTGCACCTGCTAAGGAAAGCTGCAAGTTTCAAGTGGAATCAGCCAAAAAAGGAGGTTATGTAGGCTGCAACCAGCAATGCCATAAGTCTGGGACTGCCCAAGCTGCACATCTCACCCCCATCTGCACTGATGCCAGATGTGGAGATATAGTACTTAATGTTTGTCCTATTGAGATTTAATCTTATTTTGGTCCAATTCTTTTTTGTCCCTTAATTTCTCCCTTTTAGAATATGGATGTTTAACTTGTGCCCTTGTGTCTTGGGATTAAGTAACGTGCTTTTTGAATTTTTACAGAAATTCACAGCTAAGAGTTTGCTTTGAGTCTTAGGGGAGTCTGTAACTTACACTTTAGAGAAGTGCTGGAATCTTTGAGACATTTGTAAGGGATGAGTGCATTTTTCATTGTTTGACGGATAATTGTGTCATGTGAAGTGGAATTTCAAACTTGTTTATTTGGAGAATAAGCAGTTTAAGGAGACATATATGGGTGTCATGTTGACAAGAGGTGGACTGTGATTAGGCTTGTCAACTTGATTGGCTTAGGAACCATACAAAGGATTAATAAAATACATTTCTGAACCTGTCTGGGTGGGAAAAGGCCTAACCTTGGGACCTATATCTAAGGGGCCTAACTAGGGACTTTGGTCCCTGGCCCCTTATTCTTTGGCATTATTCTCCTGAATACCAAGAAATGAGTAGCATTCCTCTGCTAGGCCCCTAGCAGGCCTAGGATGTTTCTGCCTTGGACCTACCTTACCATGGATTGAATCTCCTGAAACCATGAGCGAAAGAAACCATTTCCTCCTTCAAGTTGTGGGTACCATGTATATGAAACAATAGGAAAACTGACCAATACAATATTGTAGGTGACTCACAGATGAATAAAAATATAGTCCCTACATTTTTTCCCTAGCAGAGGTGCTGAGAAGAAATATATATATATATAAAGTAATAAGGGTGTAGGTGACAGATGGAATGAGAGGATTGCCAAAAAGAATTAGAAGAAGAGCATAACATAACAGAACAATAGAAATTATACTCAGTTTTCAAATAAGTGCTACCAGCCTTTTTCTTTCCTAATCTTCACAATATCACTGTAACAATATTTTACTAATATATGACCTTCTTTAATGACACTCAGAGTCATGCAGCTAGTCCTTGAGTCCCATAAACTGCCTGTATACAATTCCCATGTATTTGCATTCTGCCTTCACATTATAAAGAGGAAGGTTAAAATGACAGAGCCCTCACATGAGATGGAGATGACCAACATACAGGTCACTGTAGGTTAAGGGAATATCACAAGCAAGGGAACAGAGATGGAAATGGCTAAGGTATGTGCAGCAAATAGTAATCACTTCGGTATGACCAAAATAGAATATTCCAAAGCTACAACTTGTAAAAGTAAGAGGGGAAATTATCCTTGAATATGAGCTAAGAATTTTTATGTTATGGGCAGAAAATAGATGTTATTGATATTTATGAACATTAGGGAATCTTGACAATAAAATGTCTGAAATAATCTGTATATGACTTACCAAATTAGAGACAGTTACCGGCAAAACTGAAGTATTTATTATGAATACCTATAAATCAGACATAAATATGTGCCCTAAATATATGTAATTTATGCAAATCACATTATCCCAGAATCATTCATATTCTCTATGCTCTCAGGGCACCCAGTGTGTCCATCTACATCCCCTAATAAAAGTATTTATTATGAATACCTATAAATCAGACATAACTATGTGCCCTAAATATATGTAATTTATGCAAATCACATTATCCCCAGAATCATTCATATTCTCTATGCTCTCAGGGCACCCAGTGTGTCCATCTACATCCCCTAATTTAATTGTCTGCTTATTTTGTGTGCCCCAGTGTTGTATCCTCTGTACTTTGCATAGTGTTTACCATGTTAAGCACTCAGAAAATATTTCAAAAATGAATGAATGAATAAATGTGTATGAGTTTCTGAAACAAGGGAGCTAGACTTGAATCTTCATGGAACATTTTAGCTCAAATATTATGATTCTATGAAATCATTTTCAAAGTCTAGTTTAATAATTTGGCTCTTGATTAGCTTGCAACAGAGAGTTCTGAAAAGAAGTTTCAGTCTGGAGAAAAAGATATGAACTATTATTTTCCAGAAGCAAATAAAACTCCAGAAATTTCCCCCATTATTGAATATCATGATCAGATAAAGACCAAAAAATTGAGGCTCTCTCTCTCTCACACTATTCTACTATCACAGCTTACGTAGCATTCTAATTCTGGTTTTTTTTTAATTTACCTGCCCTTAATGCTATTACTTCAATTGTATAAAAATATTTTAAACATCATGAAAAAGTACCATGCTGTTTTTCATTTCTTTTTTTTTCTTTTTTGAGATAGGCTTTCACTATATAGTTCAGTCTGTCCTTGAGCTCAGCATGTAGCCCTGGATGACCTCAAACTTGCGGGGATCCTCCTGCCTCAGCTTCTGAAGTGCTGAGATTACAGGTGTGTGCCACCATGTAAATTTTTGGTAAGAGTTTAGAACGCTTGCCTTCCTCTCTCCCTCCCTCCCTCCCTTCTTTCCTATATTTACTGAGCACCTGGCACCACATTTCATTGATCCTAAGATGTGAATCTCCAGCTACTGCAGTGTGATCAGCACACTTTTTACTGTCAGTAGTACATTATAATTTATGTTGGCATTTTTTTTTTCTTTCTCAACAGAACATAAAATAGTGGTGTCTTACAATTGTTGTTGTCTTAGGATGATAGTACATCCCAGCAAATGTTAAATGAAATTTTATTGTTTGAACTCATGTCTCTTTTTAAAAATGAGTATGGCTTTTCATTTTCTCTAAGAAAATTCCTAGTTTAATCAATTTAATATTTCCTCTAGAATGAAATACCAGGAATATGTATTGTTTTAAAACATTTATGAATACTTCTGTTATCCCATGTTCTGTAAATCATCCTGAGAAGAGATTATATTAGCTCCTTTTTTAAAAAAATGGGTGAGAAGGTAGATAAAGCAGTTGGGTTTTTTTTTCATTGAGTTTATTGGTACTTTTAAGTATACAGTACAGTTACATTTATCATTGGGATCTCGTACCTTTACATATCAGATCTTGGTTCTAATTTTTTCCCCATACCCCTGCCCTTCTTTACCCCCACCCCTACTTATAAATTCTTTGTTTCCATTTTTTCCTTTTCTCATATTTTTTTCTTTTTCCTTATTTCCTTTCCCATACCCCTCCAAGCAGTTGGTTTTATCTTTGATATTATTTTATACCTGATATTATTCCTTTGCCAAACTTAATTATGCTTTATCTACTTTAATAATATGCACCCAAACATCTTGCTTTCCTAATCCAATTCATTCTGAGTGTGTATATATTTAGGAATGCAAATGACATTAAAATTTATATGTAGAAAAATTCAAGATAGTGTAATCAAGACTTGCATAAACAATACTTTTCAATAATAAGAATTTGATCAGAAGGGTGAAAATGCTGCCTTATAATGACAACTCATGTGACATTAATTCAACCAAACAATGAGAAGAGAGGAAAAAAAGGCAAAGTGCTTATTTCCAGGTATTTTGATATTATTTTTCTTGACAATAAATTGATGAATCACATTTTGAAAGAGCTTTCTTTATATTAATAATTTCTTTGGTGTACTGAAATTGTATACTGGCTCGAGTGGTGGTTTTCAGGCTGAAAAGCAACCTGCAAAATTTAGGATGCTAGCATTGATTCATTCAGTAAATATTTACTGAGTACCTCAAGTGTACCAGACATTATTATGAATACAGGATACACTGTGGTAAGCAGGACAGAAAAGAACATATATTCCACTCTGGGCACACAGACAATAAAAAAGATTAGTATAATATGTGCTCTATGAGGAAAATGCAGTGTGATAATTAAGTGATTGAAGACTAAAGTTGGTCAAGAAAATCACCTCTGAGGAGGTGCAATTTGAAGGGTGAGAAGCGCTGTAGTAACAGCCTTTCAGAAATCACGTTTATCCTTTTATACTGCTCATCCTTGTGGGTTTCCCCTCCCATTCCAAGTTGATTCTGATGCAACTTTCACAATAGTCTGCCACTGTGAGAGGCAGATCCTTTGAGAGGCAATACTTCGCCCATGGACAGAAGTCCATTTCCCTACCAATTCTATCTTGCTGACTTTGTCACTTTCCCCAAAAGATTGTGGCAGAAGTGACTTGTGAATTCTCAGCTGAGGCCTTAAGAAACTTCTGCTCTTTTGTTTTTAGAAACTTTCAATGCTGTGTGAAATTCTAGGACCAGTTGGCCAGAAGATGAAACAATCAGGAGAGAGGCTCTGATCATCCTAGCTGTCATAGATAAAGCCAACATAAACCAGCTAACTCTGGCTAGTACTCCACTAATTACAGATGTATGAGTAAGCCTAGCTTAGATTAGCTGAGCCTGCCTCACACCAGAATTGCCCAGTTGAGCTTAGCCAAAATTGCTGGCCTGCCAAAATCAAGAAATAAATAAATTGTTTAAAGCCACCAAAATTTGGAAGTGGTTTGCTATATAGACTAAGTTAAATGATGTAAGGCAATCATTCTTAGGGTTTGAGATTTTAACTGTAGCTTTCCATCAAGTTCAGGTTCATTAGGCTGAAGGCAACAGAAGAGATCAGCCTAAACTTGCCCCCAGAGAGTCCCTGGGCTACTGGAATTGTTTAGGAGTTAAAAATTGACTTCTTGCAATGTCTGGATGGGAAGCAAGATGCCCAATGTACTGTCAGACAGGTAGAGACAAGGAACCTGAGTGATCATGTCCTCCCTCCTTCTTGCTTAATAAATAGTAAAAGTGATTTTTAAAGGCTGTATCTTTTGGGAGGAGCAGGATCAAAATGAAATAAAATTTAAGAGAGAGCATGGGTTTTGAATCTTGAAGGCCTGAGATCACATTCCACTTCTTAAACCCCCTCCCTTCCAAGCTGTGAGCCTTGTAGCAATTTATTTTATTTCTATAACCTCAGCTCTTTGTTTGTTAAACACTTATTAAAAAAATTCTATGAATGAGCCTACTAGAGTGCCTGACTGGGCTCCTGGTGAGTGTCCAGCTGCTTGGCTGCTGCCACTGTGGTCCTGAAATCCTTCAGTGTGGTCCCGGGCTTGTACTCATTTCATTCTCACCCTCACCAGCAATTGTCTGGTGTGCTGGGCCTCACTGGAAGCACATGATTGTGTGGAGTTTCATTATACTATACAAAGACTAGTGTGTCATTCTTACAGCTAAGGTTTGAGTGCCTTGACACCTAGTCAAAGTTCATGTTTACAGAAAATGAAAAATTCTTCCCAGCTGTGCATCCTGTGATTAGCATGAGAAACTCACTGCAGGATGAAATCTGACATTGGAATGATAATATGAATTCAGAATTTTCCATCAAAGCAGCTAAAATTTTGCTTATGACTAGGTTAAAAAAAAATCTGAAAACCTTCAGTTGAGCTGTCTTGGGATACATATGCTTAATTAATTGCTACCTTTTTAAAAAAATCACATCTCATGAAATTAACTTTGACATTTACCTGATGTTTACTGTACTTCATATAAAATACAAAATATAGTACAAAAGGCATATTCAAAAATAAGAATACCAGATACAAATGGAAAGGAACAATATCATTCTTTTATGTAACATCCTTATAAATAAGTAATTTCTATCACTTAGCCATTGGGATTATGTTGAAATAGAGTTTGAGACAATAAGTGCATGGCTACTATAAAATGACAAGAACTACAAATCATCTTTTAAAAAGAATCTCAGCTATTTCTCCAGGTCTGTGGTGATTAGGGACTGGAAACAGCAATCAGAATTCAGACAAAAACCCATGGCCCAGGCATCTTACTAAGGAGGATCCTTCCTAAGTCAGATTTATTGGCTCTTTTCTTCTGCTACACACTTTAGTGGTTAATTAATTCTGTAGGCTTGTTGGGTTAGGAAAGTTTAAACAAAACGATTAAAAGGAGTTTTGCAAATGTATAGAGATGTTTAATTATTTTTAATTTTATTAAAAGCAGTCTACCCTCTGATCTAACCAAATGGAGATGAGCTTGGTACTCAGGCTTGATAGCAGGAACCTCCCAGGTGGAGTTTCTACTGCTGGTCTTTGGGGAAGAGGCCCCACCTAACCCCAGCCCCATAGTGTGTGAAGGAGGGAATATTCTAGGTTCTGTTGAAGTGTAAGGCACTATACTACCTTCCACAACTGTTCCTCAGAAGTCCCTACCACTTGGTACATAAAGGCAGGTAAGAAAGTGTTCCCTCTGGTGAACTTTGTTCTTCCTCTGAAGCTGGAGGCAGATCTGACCATGGAAGTAACCATGGACTTTTCCTAGAAAAATCCTCACGTCTCCCTCTCTTTCTTTATTGTTGCTCCTCCACCCTCCCTTACCACTGTCCTCCCCACCCATATGACTGAATGATGAGACTGACTTACGTAGTAATTCTGATCTAGACCTTTCCTCCCAATCAGATGTAACTGTCCAAGAGATACCTAGGAATGATAATTTTTAAAAATGATTTTAGCACTAATATTAATTTAAAAGAAAACATTTACTTGATAATGTTACTATAGCATGTTGATTGAATTTGATTCAGTTGGCATGTTTTGAAAGAAGCAGAGAAACATTCCAGACCCTATATTTTACTGGGTAATTAGTTGCTATTGGGCATGTGGCTTTCTCAATGGCAGGAAGCCGACCAGCTGATATATAGTAACACGTGGGCACAGGAACCTAGGGGCTTTAACCCTTGGCTTGCAAAGATCACACAAACGCTGTCTCACTCCCAGGATCCTTGTAGGAGTTTATCTGTATTAAAACCAACAATAGATATTGCTTTTTTTCCCCTCTGTAATTAAAATCCAAGGTTTTAAAAATTAATGTCTCAGGAAGAAATTTAAAAAAAGAAACTTGACATTACTATGGTAACTAGCTCTCCAATAAGCCGAAGGAACTGCAAAACAGGAGGAGAGCAAAGAAGAGAATGTCTCCTCCTTTTCCCTTTCAAGGTGGGGCAGCATTAATTCCTTTTGCTCCCGGAAAGAACCAAAGATGCTTGTAACTTGAACGTTTTAATAATTCAATCACATTTGTATACATTACTTGTATCTGAACATCTCCTCTTTCTGCCAAAAATTTATAGTATTGGTATATGTCCCAGTCCAAAATCTCATTGTTAGAACTCAAATTTTCAAGTCTCTCAGTTAGTCTCACTTTTTCCACTGGAATGCCTTCATTTTTTTCCAATTTGTCAGCAACTACGAATAGAAACAAGCCAGAGTGTCACTAGAAAATATAGGCTGAAACAGGTAATGGTCAGTTTAGAGGAAACATTATCAGGCTTATTGTGCTTCAATCTGCAGAAATCTGTTCTAGTAACAGAGAGGGAAGATCTATAGAAGATAGAAATTTGTGATTTTTGTTTAATTCTAAGAAAAGTGCAAGAAACCTAGTTATCCTTTGTAGCCCACATACATATTATTCATATCTAGCAGACAGCCCTCAATGTCTTGGCCAAGCAGATTCAAGGAAAGAGCTACTAGAAGCAGACAACTGACCCCCTTACCACTGACTTTTTCTAGGATTGAGACTACAACATAGGAGTAAGTGTTCTGGGGCTGGGGATTCAGCTCAGTGGTTCTTCCGCCTGCCTCGAAAGTGCAAGGACCTGAGTTCAATCCCTGTACCTCCCCCCAAAATTATGTTTGAATATCCCTAATAAACTGCAATTTAAAATATAAACATAGAGGGGCTGGGGATTTAGCTCAGTGGTTCTATCGCTTGCCTCCAGGCACAAGGTCCTGAGTTAGATCCCTGTACAAAACAAAACAAAACAAAACAAACAAACAAACAAATATATATATATGGTAATTCCAGATTCTTTAAGCATATTAAATGATCTTATGAGGATCTTAAATTAAAAAGTAGTTTATTTTCTTCCTCTTTTTCTGATATTCCAGTAGTGCCACAAGAATATATTTGGATGTTATTCTGATTACAGAAATTAAACAGGTTGACTTTATTCACTTCTTGGAAGACTTTTACTTAAAGCTCTATTATATAATCTGCTTCAGTGATATTGTAATCTGAAATGTTATATATAACTTTGGGAGTGATCCTAGGAACTTTTTTAAGCCTTATGCTCTATGTTTTGTAGACAAGTAATAGGGCAATAGAATAATGACTTCTGGATTATTTTCAAGTACAGTGATAGATCTCTCCAAAGTAAGTACCTTATATTCATGTCATTAGAAAATTTACAAGGGGAAAAAATGAGAATCAAGACCTGTCATGTAAAGGTACAAGATCCCAATAATGAATGCAACTGTACTGTATACCTAAAATGTACCAATAAACTCAATAAAAACAAGAAAATTTAACAAATTATCTCATATTTTAAATGTTAGATTTATGGGAAGTACTTAATTTTTATTGGTTTGACACTGCAAGAAAAAGTAAAATAAAAATATTTGAGATATATAGTAAGAAAAATAAAACGCGAATATAATAATTTAAAACTTTTTGAAAAATAATGAACAGAAGCTTACATTGTATTAAAAGAATTGTATTATAGTAGATATTAAAAATAGAGACAATATAACCATAAATTTATGTCATCTATTATTGATTTTTAAAAATTTATTGGCAAGGCTTGTTTTGTTTTGTTTTGCTGTTTGTAGTTTTGACAATGCTAAGGATTGAACCCAAAGTTTTGCATATGCTGGGCAAATACTCTCTCACAGGACTATCCACTACCAACACCAAGTCTGTTTATCTTAAAATAAATTATGAGAGAAGACTCACTATAATCTGCCACTTTCTTGTAGTGATTTAGGGCAGTTTCACAATCCTGTAGAACGTTGATTCCTGACAAATATCTGTACCCCTAAAATGTAAGTATATATTCTTAATAGTCAGGTAATGCTCTTTAATAATGTATATATTATGTTGCAAGACTACTTAATTTACAAACCAAAATCATCTGGGACATCATACTTCCTCCAGCGCTTCCAAAGGTATAATATATCAGTGCCTAAAATTTTAAAAAATATAATTATTTTGGTTATCTAGGTTTGAAATTCAAGCCAACTATTGCTTTTTTTGCCTCTACCCCAGCAGTGAATCTTATATTTTATTTTATTAGTACATGTTTGCAGTACATAATGAGGGTTTTCATCATTGGAAGTTGATACGTTTACATAACACATCTTAATTCTTTGTTTTCCATTTTTCTCCTCTCTCCCCAACCCCTCCATCTCTTGATTCCCTTCCCTTTTACAAAAGTTCTATCTCCGCTTCCTATTGTCTCCTATTTTGCTTTATAATTTATTTATATTTTTGGTTTCTCATATAAGAAAAATCTGGCAATTCATTTTGTTTTGTTTTGTGACAGAGTCTCACTATATAGCTCAAGCTGGCCTTGAACTCACTATGTATCCTAGGCCAGCTTTAAACTTGTGTCAGTCATCCTGCCTCAGCCTCCAGTGTGCTGGGATTACGTTTGTGCACCACCATGCCTGGCTATCATAATCCTATTTAAGCTTGTATGTCTAATTTATTTCACTTAACATTATGATCTGGAGATGCATCCATTATGCCACATATGACTCAGGTTTATCCTTCTTTATGGCAGAGTAGTATCCCATTGTGTATAAATAACACATTTTCTTTATTCATTCATTTCTTGATGGATGTACAGGCCATTCCAGGATTTAGCTATTACGAGTTGTGTTGCGGTAAACATGGAATTGCATGTATCACTGTACTCTGATGTCTTTAACTCTTTTGGGAAGAGACCAGAAATGTAATAGCCCAGCAATGAATATTAAAATACTCCAAAAAAAATTCCAGATTTCATTCTGTTCTGTTGAGAAAGGTGCCACTTATTGGGGAGTTACCAGACTATGGATTCTGTAAAAAGAGCATAGTATATAATATTTCAACACCATAAAATTCCTGTAAGATAGATATTACCTACCTTCAATCAAGAATCTAAAGTATGAGACTTTAAAAAAGTGGAGGAAGAAGAATACTAAATTTGTGTTGAGTTGATGCTTTTAAGCACCCCGGTAGAATAAACCCCTTTACTTAAAGAAAGAATAGATTCTACTCATTGTCATTTTTAAAGGAACCAGTTTTGTTCAAGAAAAAAAAATAGAATTGACTTTACCTTGGCTTGATCATACTCCATTCCTATTCCATAAGAAGACAAAAATCCTAATGCCTAAAGTACAAAAGAAAAAAGTGAAATTCAAATCAATTTATTTCACAATTTTCCTATCTGTAGTGATGATAACATTTTAAATATCTGCTTCATAATAGTTTGCATTGTTAATTTATTTCTTATACCATAGCAAAGTGCTTTTGTTAAGATTTAAGAATCTGGGAAAAGGAACAGTAGTGATTGAATTATATATGTGAATATAGGCTGATTCTTACTGTAGTTTAGAATAAAATTTAATAATATAGCATTATAAATCAGTGATTTTTATGTGTTTTCCTCTCTTGGAAATAAGTCTTTCCTTCATTCTTTCAAAAATTGAATTTGTATTTTTTATTCATACTTTAAAAAATAAAGTGGAATTGTTACAAAATATTCATAGTAAGAAATCTATTGAATAAAAAGTGGAAGCTTGATCACAGAGGGAGTTGGCAGGACAGGAAGCCCCAGACTCATCTGCCCACAGTGATATGGTATGGACCCAAAAGGCCTTTCAGAGAAGTGCAGAGACCAGTCAAGAAGTCAGCACATCAGGGTGGAGTCACAAACAGAACAGAAATAGTAAAGTCCAGATAGAGGTTCCAAAGTTAAAATGGTTTGACCTATGATTTTCCAGCTTTCTGGCAGTGTGAACACAGTATGCATTCAGTGGAAAGTGTATTTTGAAATTTGATTTTTTCCTTGGCCAGAAATATGTGCTACAACACTTTCCGGGGAAGCTGAACAGTGGCAGGCAGCTGAGGCTCCCAGCCGGACATGTGAGCACCAGGCTAAACAATCACTGTGCTTTGGTGTGCTGTGTTGCTAACACTATGATTTCAGTAGGTGATGTACATTAAATCCATTGTCAGTTTGCAATATTTTCAACGTTTCAAGGGTTTATTGGGGTATAATGTCTCTCAAATTCATTTTTTTTCCAGCATCTTTCTGTCATGAGCCACTTTCAGGTCTTAGCTAAACCATTGCAATACTTTCAAGATTTTTCCCCTTCTTTCCATTTTTCTGCTACACAGTACTATTACTACTTCCAACTACCATTATCAAGCCATTATATTTTTTATCTAGTTCCTGAGAAAGACACAAAACTTTGTCAAATGTTTAAAATCAAACCAAAATATATCAAGTACTGACAATTCGATCAATTCAGCAAATGATCAATTTCTTATACTGTTAATTACAATTTCAAGGGTAAAGAACTTTGTCACTTTTTCATTTAGGAAATTAACTATAGAGTTCCCACCCCAAAAGCATAATAGCTCTAACTTGTGGATTTAAGTATCATTTGCATAATTTACATCTTATCCAAACTAATCCATATACTGAAAAAAAAAAACTTCTATGATTCTGCAAATTTTTCATTAGTTTGAAAGTTTGCCTTTTTAAGAAAAGTTAACCATAAGGCTGCTAATAGAAATGGAAGGCTTCTGCAATCCTGGTACTCCTCTAATTCTTTAATGTACTGTATTTTAAAAATGGCTAAATTGGCTCTTTTTAAAGACATCACTAGCCAAGATTAAATGTTTTAAATTTTTCTTGCAAATACTGGCAATTTTTGATCCTGCTCAATTTAGACTCTGGTTCAGTTATGCAAAAATTTTGACAGTAAATAAATACACTGACCTTTATATAACAAAATAAAGATACTGTTCTATTCAGTTGGGCTTGTAATTATGACACTTTTACCAATACTGTATCATTTTGTATGGAGCCTAGTACCCTTTTTGATCAGATTCTTCTGGAAAAAATATGTGAGCCCATGCAGTTGTGAAGTGGACTGTGTGAGAGTTAAAATTCTATTAAATTGGGGATCAAAATGTTCACTCTAAAAAGTAAAGCTTGCTGGGCCTGCTGGCACACACCTGTAATCCCAGCACTCAGGAGGCAGAGGCAAGAGGATCGTTGAATTTGAGGCTAGCTATGTAGTGAGTTCAGGGCCAGCCTGAACTACAAAGCAAGACTCTGTCTCAAAACAAAACAAAACAAAACAAAGCAAGAAAAGTAAAGCTAAAATCATGAGGTTTACTAGCTCTGAGTAACCAAACCACAATAATACTTCACTTCTCTAGCAGAAAAATGACAATGAGTAATTTTGAATTAATTCACTGGAGGGCTGGACATTCACTTTATTTTCATTTGTTTGTGCTGCTTAAAGCATGCCAAGGTACTAGAGAAAGTCAAAAGGTGTTAGCTAGGGGCTGTGATGCAGTAAAATATGCAAATTACTGTCAGCACCCTCCTATTCCTTTACACTTGGCCACTGTCATCTCACAACTTCACAATCATTAGTTTTCAATGTTCAGTATTTTTCTGAGTTAAGAGAGACATGAAATGAGATGGATTATGGAATGATTAAATCTTAATGCAGTAAAGACAAATGCTGTGAGTCAAAAAGAGAATTTACAAAGTAGTGATGACATCAGTGACACTTTCAGTGGTTTTAAAGGTCAGGGTCTGTAATTGGATTGTTTTTAAAACTTCATTTTGAACTGAACCATTGTGCTATGGTTTTTAAGGAAGTGTTATGGGAGCTGGGATTTGAATAGAAAGAGTTAAGGATATTTTATTCTAGATAAATTATTCAGGTTCCATAATAACAATTTAAAAATTATTCCTTCTTTTTCTTTTTATATTAGAAATTCTTAAAAGAGAAAAAAGATTAAGCAATTTGCCTTAATTACTGTATGAGACTTGAAAGTGCCTGAAATCATTACTTTTAGCTCAAATTGCATTCCAAACAAAAGTGTGAATCAACCCTACTGAGTAATTTAGACACTCTCTGTACTCTTGCTACAAAAAGGGCATTGACATCCAAAGAAATGCCCCACACAGACAATCCTAGAATTATCAAAGTGATCATTAGTTGATACTAAAATTGAATTTTTTCAATAGTATCATAGTGCTAATAACTATTGTCCTTCTATGAAATGCTTTAATAATTCAAATTTGAATTAAAGTATATGTGGAAGCCAGGCATGGTGTCATATGTAATCCCAGCACTATGGGAAGCTAAGGCAGAAGGATCACAAGTTCAAGCCCAGCCAGGGCAATTAGTGATTTTGTGTCAAACAAAAAATAAAAGGGCTGGGAATGTAACTTACCACAAAGACCTTGGGTTTAATACCCATGACTAGAAAAAATACATGGACTCTGTCTTTGAGATAGTATTATCCTAGGATCACAAAGCATGGTAAAATATGCAATCTCATCTCTCATATCTTTCTCCTTTTCATGTCAATTGTAATTATTTTATGTAATTGAATGGTAGCCAAAGAAATTCATGCAGCAAAGTTAAATGTTTTACTCAGCTATCTCATCTTTGACAAAGGAGCCAACCATGATCACTGGAGCAAAGATAGTCTCTTTAATAAATGGTGTTGGAAAAACTGGATTTAAACCTGCCAAAGATTAAAACTAGACCCCTATCTCTCACCATGCACTACACCAAAATCCAAGTGGATTAAAGATCTAAATATTAAAACAGAAACACTAAATTTGTTGGAAGATAAGCTAGGTAGAACTCTTAAAGACATTGGCATAGGAAAAAACTTTATGAACAAATCCTCAGTAGCATGGGAACTAGCACAAAGAATCAACAACTGCGATCTCATTCTATTAAAAAGTTTCTGCACTGCAAGAGAAACCATCTACAGAACTAAGACAACCTATAATGTGGGAAAAAAATTTTACCAGCTACTCCTCAGACAAAGAACTCTTATCTACAATATATAAAGAACTCAAAAATAAAAATCAGGCCACCCAAATATAAAGATCCAATTCAAAACTGGGAAACTGAAATGAACAGACATTTCTCAGACAAACAAGTAAAAGCAGCAAATAATCATATGAAAATATCTTCAACATCACTGGCCATTTGAGAGATAAAGATGAAAACAACACTGAGATTCCACCTCACCCCACAAAGAATGGCTGCTATCAATAAATCAACCAATAACAAATGCTGGTGGGTTTGTGGGGAGAAAGGAACCCTTCTACATTGTTGGTGGGAGTGCAGACTGGTGCAACCACTGTGGAAATCAATATGGAGATACCTCAAAGAGCTGGGACTAGAGGTTCCATTTGACCCATCCATCCCTCTACTGGGCATCTTTCCAAAAGAATTAAAAGAATCATATCACAGTGATATATGCTCACTCATGTTTATGGTGACACAGTTTGTAATAGCTAAAACTTGGAAACAGCCCATTTGCGCATCAGTTGGAGACTGGATAAAGAAGATGTGGTTTTTCTATAAAATGGAATACTACTCAGCCATAAAGAATGAGAAATTAGATCCATTCATAGGAAAATGGATACATATGGAGGATATACTCCTAAGTGAAATAAGTAAGTCACACATGTGTAAATACTGAATAGTTTCTCTGGTGTGAAAAACTCTAATAACACATAAGATCCTAATAATATAATTGACAGTGTGAAATAGGAAGAAAAGGGCTAAAGGTTTAGGGAAAGTGGGAAGGGTAGGGCAAAGGTAATAAGGGAAAAGAAAAAAAAATATGAGAAAATGAAAAAATGGAAATAAAGTGTTTGTAAACAGGGAGGGGAGGAGGGGGTGAAGGGAGGGCAGGGTCAAGGGGGAAAAATGAGAAACAAGACCTGTCATGTAAAGGCACAAGATCCCAAAGATGAATGTAACTGTATTGTATACCTAAAATGTACCAATAAACTCAATGAGAAAAAAAGAAGTTAAATGTTTTTATAGCATAAGGCAATACATGCTCATGAATATAACATTTTGAAATAAACCCCCAGAAAAATATGTTAACCAGAAATAGCACAAAATACTACCTATTAGAGATAACCATTAATCAAAACATTAAGGGTAATACAATGTGAATGATCTATTTCTTGATCTGAAGCAAATGAGATTTAATTCTACTTTTCTGTTTGTCAGTGTAACAAATTCTCTACTGAGAACAGTTTGTCAATCTCAAGAAAAGAGTGAATCTTTCTAATTCTGAATTTCTCCTTCTAGGAGAGAATCA